GTGTTGTGTGTATTTATTCACATATGTTTTATAGTTTATGTGTGCGAAACATTTTGGCTCAGTAAACAGTTGTGCTTGCTAGCGGATTCGAAAAGCGTTTAGCCGACATATGCGTTCCACGGCAATAGGTTTGCAACAGTTGCGAACTTTCTTTGTTTCATGTCACATGGCAAGCAGGACAGTAATAAAGTACATCACGTTTGCTTCGCTTTGTAGGGCTCCTCGTGCCGGGGGGGGGAGCGGGCACCCCCACAAGTGGGGTGAATGGCTTGATCGTTCCGGGCTCTCAGAAGTCCTCGTGCCTGCTCCTTTCAGTGGGGGTGCATGGAAGCTTCCACTCAGACACCAGATATCTTTGATCTTGAAGAGCGTGTGTTTGCACTTGAAGTCAGCCGAGCCGGGCACTCTAATCATCTTTCGCAGGTTCAAACGTGGTTGAATAGGCTTGAGAATCGCTTGCAAGCTGTGGAGCGCGACATTGCTCTTATCATTGGCTTGCAGCGCAGCATCCGGCAATTGCGTAGAGCTAACATTCTGCTTTTGCGTGCACTTCAAGAGAGCCGCCGTAACTACGCATCTCTGGCGCGTCGGGTGGCCTGTAATGCCTTCGGAACGATCAAAAACCCCAAAAATCAGTGAGAACGCTTCTCGCAGCAAAGTTGCGCGTGCAGCCTTTGTGGCATTGTTTTCCATTCTTGGCAGCTTGAGCGCTTTGGGTGCATCCTTGCGAGAGAGTAGTCAGGACCACGTGGGTCGCATTCTTCAGATGTTTGTAGCAGCCACCGTGATTCGCTACAGCTCGGCCTTCAAATCGCTTGCAGAAACCATTCTTGATCTGGGTTTTTCCTTGGAATCTTTGACCTCGGTTCAGCTTGCAGATGCTCTTGTCGTTTTGAGCCTGGCGCGTAGCAGTGACCCGGAATCGGGAACTCATTCAGCGACGGCCATCAAGGCTATCAGGTGGGTTAAGCGTACTTTCGAAGTAGCATGCTTTGAAGTCGCGTACTCACCCTTGATTGCCAGCTTTCTGAAATCCAAGATTCCCCGTGAACGCAAGGAAGCTGTGCCCTTGTCTCTTTATGTCGTTATGCATTTTGAGCGACGCTTGCTGATGCAAGAAGCCACGGACTCAGAAGTCCTTATCCTTGGGGGATTCTTGATCCTTATTTGGGGTTCTCTTCGGTTTATGGACGGACAAAGAGTCCACTGGCGATCATTGTCCTATGACGGCTCCACATTGAGGGGCTCATGCTACCAAACTAAGACCACATCACAAGGACAACCATTTGGGGTGATTTGCCAGGGTTTGCTCAGTTACGGATCTTTTACCTGGGTGCATCGGTTTCTTCGGACATTGGACAAGGTAGCATGCATGCACAGCAGCCTTCACCCGGATCATCCGTTGCCTTCGAGCCTCTTGCTCTCGATTGGGGCATCAGGGGATCCTGTGTACCCCTTGCAGGCTATGGGGTACGCTGCTGCACTTCGGCACCTTCGTTATGCTATCACTCTTCCTTGGAAAAAACATAAGGTACCCGTCCCCCATGAAGTCCAACTTAATTATACGGTGCACTCCATGAAAACCACCCTCTTATCTTGGATGGGTCAGCGTCCTGAAGTCCAGCAAATCGAGAAACAATGCCAGGGCCATCACAGGCTCAGCTCGTCACAGCTGTACTCGCGTGAGGACATTATTCCAGCTCTGAGGGGCCAACAGAAACTTCGGTACGCCATAACCGGTGGCGCTCGGTTCATGACCCCGCTTCATCGTGGCTCTCAGCACCCTCTGGAGGAGCCACCAGTGCAGATCGAATCATTCAGCAAGGTTGCAGATTCCACTCCGTTCGAACATTTCCCTCAGTTTGTTATGCAGGATGGATTACATCTGCCTGAGTTCGAGAAATCATCAGAGATACCCAAGCCAGTCGTCCCAGCCCCACTTTGGGATGTTCAGTCATCCGATGAGGAATCACTGGACAGCAGCGGCGACGAATCGCCCAATCTCCCCGACTTAGGAGATGCAGAGGAGTTTGTGCTCGCATCCAGCACAGGTGTTCATCATGCGATGGTGCCTACCTCAGGGCCTTTTGGGATCACCTTTCGAGGTCAAAAGCTGCGACCAGTTTGTGGCATTTATTTGGAAGCAGATAATATCACTTGGTGCGAGCATTACTCTCCAGCAATCACCTTGTGCAAACGCCGCGCATGTTGCATAGTCCTTGGTCGCTGCGGGATCTCAGATTTGTGAATATCAGGAAAAAAGCGGTCACGAGCTACTGCAGTCGGCCGGTTGAGCATTTCAGCCATCATGCACACTGCTGTTGCTAGGCCACAATTGTCAGGCGCATGCACACTACAAGTTTCTGGGTGGCCTCAGGACAGCTGCTCAAATGTCCCTTATGTGATAGCGTGTACCACTCTCTTAGGGTTATCTGGTAACTCCTTTTTGTTGCGCTCATACGCCATAGTCATTAGGATTCCCACTAGTACAAACGAGTACCTGCCATGAAACTGGCGGAGCTTCTGAAATCAGAAGGCCTCTCTTCCGAGCTGGCCGATCTCGCTGTTGCAAGCGGTTGGAAGTCATCTACTTTCAAGCATGCTGTCAGTAAACTGGAAGAATTAGACTCTGTATTGGGCGAAATTTTCCCGGAAAAGGTGCTGACAGCTCTTCAGAAAGCGACAATTCGTTCTGTCTGGAGTACTTTGCAGGAATCTGGGGCCTCTGGCTCAGCAGAATCTCCAACCCCTGCCGCAACAGAACCTCGTGAAGGCTCATGGGTGGAATCTTTTGCCCCAAAGATATCATCCTCTTCGATTTCCGAGATGAAACGTAAGTATCTGGTGAACTACCCGTCCGAGATCCTCAACTATTCCACCCAGCCGTCAACAAGGTTGCTAAGCCTCGCATCCCACCAGCAGAACAAGAAGGATTGGCGCTGGATCCCCTGGAAGTTCAGGATGACGGAAGAGCGAGCATCAGAGATTCTGATGTCTCGCCCTAACAAGCAACCACGGCTTGAGGCCATCGGGCTTTCTGGTATGTTGCTTGACGAACCTCCTGCACTTGAAATCCAGGACCACTCTATGGGGGTGAATGCTATTCAGAAGCTTATGAATGTTCATGACGTATCCTTGGCAATGGTTGGCACGGCCCATCTCGCCAGGTTGAAGGGCTATACGACAAAGTTCATTTCACTGCTGACTCAAGAATTCGACGCATCATCGGGCTTACGGCCACCATCAGTACTTGAAGCACAACAGGCTGATTGCCGCTTGTGGCAGGGCATGATCACCTTGGTCACCGACAAAGGCTGGACTATGGATGATGCACTCTATGAATTTACAGAGGTCAGGGGCGAGATGCCCAGTCTTCTTCAAGCTCGAGCGCGTCCTCCTCCCATTCCCAAAGGCTGGGACGGGAAAGGCAAAACCAACAAGGGTCTAGGGAAGATGCTCGTGGAATCCTATGCCAAGGGTTACGCATCCCAAGCGGCTATGAAAGGCAAGGGAAAGGACAAAGGCAAGTCCAAAGAAGCTAAAGGCGGCTCCAACATCAACTTTGTGAAGTCCATTATGGTGGGGTCCGAGTCCAACCACTGTGTGTGAATTGGCAATTGAGTCGTTGCAATCGTGGAAACGCGTGTCCATTCATACACGCCTGTGCCTTCCCGAAACCCAATGGGCAAGCTTGTGGAAGCAAGACGCATACCGCACTGCAGCACGAGAGCACTCCACACTGACTTAGCCCCAATCCCATAAGCATGCCAGGGGTGGTTTCTTCGGATCCTCACCCCCTTCCGGTTTCACCACATAATTCTTCAGACCAAGCCCCAGCGCTTTTGCAGCACAATCCCGATTCACTAAATTTGCATTCTCAGCAGTCAAAAAGACTTCGAGTGCAGCAGTCAGGTCCTCAGGCAAGCGGCACGGCATACGTTCCAGGTCCGCAGGCTCGAGGCTTTTCGGATTCCACCTTTGCGCAAGGAATCCCACGTGTGGGATCGTCTGTTCCTCCCATGCTGGGAGTTCCCCACAGCACCCCTGCGGTGTTGGGATCAAGGCCCGCAGGTTCGGAGGCATTGGGATCCGGCGTGCAGCCGGGCGAAGTTTTCGTTGCATCATCGGGCGCATCGTGCATTCATGATTTTGAGTCTTGTGCAGCGGCATTGATGGCAGCAACATGTCCAGCACGCGCTGCCCCAGACCGTGCGGCAGCCTCAACGGCTCACTCCGATTCAGGTTATTGGAACTTCGGAGTTCAGATTAGCCACAGGAACACCTTAACCAGTGTCACAACAGCCTTGCCGGAACTTTGTATCGAACTAAATCAATTCCTTCAGCAGTGTTTTCCAGGGGAAACATGGAACTCCTTATGCGTTAGCAGAAATGTCTTGACAACCCCACACAGGGATTCAGCCAACTTGAAGGGCGTCTTCGGCGTGCCGACTAGTCTTTCTTTTGGGGGGTGGTCAGCACGGGGAGAGTGCGGGTTTTCTAGAGCTCATGATGCATGATTTTAAACATGCTCTTTTTGAAGAATTTGTTTAGTATTGAAGAAAATTTTTCATGTGCGAAGCATGGACTTGTTGAGAATTGTTCTATGGCTGCGCTGCTACTCAAGGGCGAGAGAAAAATTTTCTTGAGACTGGGGGCTTATATCTGTCTAGCAGGTTCTGAGCCCCCTACTTCAGTGCTTTCGATAGAGGTGGGCCCAGCCATGCAGGCCTCTTTGGCCAGAACAGCTCAGCTGAGAGACATTGCCAGCTTGATTTGGGCCTGCCTTTTCTCTGTCGAGCGCCTGCAATTGCTTAGAGTAAGCTGGCAAATCCGTTTTAGCTTCTTCTGTGCCCAACCTTGATATGAGTGATTTTTCTGCACAGGGCGCAGGTGTTCCGACAGAGCCCGCCGGGCCGATTCATCAGGGGAGAGAGGCGGCGGAACCGTCGGGCTGCCATTTGCCGGTGGGAGAGTCCGTGTCTTCTGAAAGCCGCGTGTCCATGTGGCACTTGATTGATGAGCGGCCTCTGCCTAGCGAGGCGGACGACAACATCCCGGAGTCTGAAGATTTAAATTTTCTTCTTGAGGATTCGGCTGTTGATGAGGGTGAGTGGTACAGAGAGATCAGGGACGAGGATCATGGTGTCGCTCCCAGTGAGTTTCCGCCTGGATTGGACGGTGAATCGCAAATCGGCAGAGAGAGCGAGGATCCCGTGCATGAGGTCTCTGATTCTTCGTTCTCCAGATTGGCTGCTCACAGCTCCTTCAAGAGGCTAAGGCTGGAACGACCAAGGCAGGCGTGGGAGAGCCATCCGACCTTTAACCGGAAGTCGGGTAGCTCGTCACTTCATGCTTGGGCGAGTGCTGCTTTCCTTCCATCGGTGGGTGTGCGAGAGACTTTAAACTTTCCGAAGCCGGAAGAGAGCTACGGAGGGGAAGATGCAGCCCATGTGCCTTGGACCATCGAGCGACGACTGAAGGGAGTCCGCATTCAGAGGTCCGATGAAGATGAGAGAAATCATGCTCTGAAGAAGCTTAAAGCTGTGGTGCTCCTGGACCCTTTGGCTACGGCTCTGGGTAAAAGTTTAGTGCAGAAAACGGGTGCTCTTGAGACGGAGGAGATCATTGCAGCGAGTTTTAGCGATGCTTTCAGTTCAAAATCGGCGGGTACGCTCACCAAAAGGGCTGGCTCTTTGCAGAGGCTGGTGGTTCAACTTTATAAGCAAGGGGTGGCTTCTCCGTGGCGCATGGAGGAGGCAGACTTGTATTCGGCTTTGACCACACTGCGTGAGGAAGGTTGTGGGGCAACATCACCAGCTCACATGTTGGAGAGTTTACATTTTCTTCATGCCATTGCAAGATTTTTGCATTTGGATTTGGAGCTGGTGATCTCTGCTAGATGCAAGGGTGTTGCTCATTCATGCTTTATGTCAAAGGCGCCGTTGGAGCAGCGTGACCCGCTGACATGCTTCCAGGTGCGGCGACTTGAAGAGGCAATGGTGAGAGCTGGCCCGGTTGGTCAATGTATCTTGGGACAGATTTTATTTTGCGTGCATGCCGTTTGTCGCTGGAAGGATTCCCAGAAACTAAAACTTTTGGAGCTGCTGGGCACGGGAGAGAGCCAGATTCTGTTTGGGGATGCTCTGGGAAGCAAGACGTCTTTGAGCAAGGAGGCCAAGACAAAATTTACACCATACGCGGCGCTGGCGCAGGGGCTTACTGAATGCTCTTGGGCGCGCTTGTGGATTGAAGCCAGACGCCAGTGTAGGCTCAAGTTCGGTGCTGGACCGGATGGCTTTTGCCTTCCTACGAGGTCTCAGCGACTGGATGAGTGGGGCTCCACGCCTATGGGAGCTGGTGAGGCGTCTTCCTACTTAGCGGAGATTTTGGAAGGCTCTGAAACGGAGGGACAAGTTCTGGGAACACATTCCTTGAAAGTCACCCTGCTTACGTGGGCCTCTCGATCGACAGTGGTGCGCCTGAGCAAAGGGGAACGTCTCCTGTTGGGTCACCACATTGTACCGGGGGTCAAAAGTATGGTGACTTATAGCCGCGAGGCTTATACGAGTTTGATCGGCAAGCTTTTAGCTCTTTACCGCTCGATTCGAAGCGGAGCTTTTCAGCCAGATCTCGCGCCTGCCGACAGGGTGCTACAAGTTGCTGACGCCTTGGCCGCGGCTGAGGAAGGTCAAGGCCTGGGCACAGGAGCGCGGGATGAGGCGGCCGCAGAGCAGTTGGCTGGGTTTGAGGGCGAATCGGAGGACTCCGCAGATGATGCTGAGGCCGACGGGCCCTTTGAGCTTCCAGGCCAACCTGCAGTGAGAGTGCCGTTTGCTAATGTCGATGTTTCTCAGTGCCGGATTCATAGTATATCAGGCATTGCGCATTGCCTTCGGGATGCAAGCTTCTTCTACTGTGGTCGTTTGTGCACTTCGAGATACTCCAGATATTCTGGAGTTGGGACTGAAGATCCCGATGTATGCATGCAATGTACGAGAGCCATGAACGAGTGAGGCAGAGGATATGCGCATTTGTTTTGCAGATGCTATTCCCTTGGCGCCTGGGAGCGGTGCCAGAGAGAGGGGATTCGAAAGAATATGCGTACTTGTTATGCAAATGCTACTGCCCTTGGCGCCTGGGAGCGGTGCCAGAGAGAGGGGATGAATATGCGTACTTGTCGTGCAGATGCTGCTACCCCTCGCGCCTGGGAGCGGTGCCAGAGAGAGGGGAGCCGGAAGAATATGCGTGCTTGTCATGCAGATGCTACTGCCTTGGCGCCTGGGAGCGGTGTAATATGCGTACTTGTCATGCAAATGCTACTGCCCATGGCACCTGGAAGCGGTGCCAGAAAGAGGGGAGCTGGGTGAGAGCTCGATTGCAAGTCCAATGGCATCTGGCTCCAGCTTCGAGGCAGTATCGCTTGAACTCATTAGGGAAACATGTTCATGCGTCATTGAAGTTCTGATGAGGGGATTATCTAGTGCAAGGGGGAAGCTGTCAGTTCTTTGTTCGTGAGATCGCGAAATCTTGGTGTATCATGGCTTCTGCGAACCTTGATTCGGAAGCAGCTTTCTTGGACCGCGCTAGAAAGATCGGACTGTCTGAGGAAACCCTTACAGGACTCTTGAACAACAGCTTCAACACCTTTGGCCGCCTGGCCTTTGCGGTGTCGGCTACGCCAACGACTCTCACCGACGAGGCAGTGGACAACTGGATTGATGGATTGGGCATGAGACCGTCTGGTTTTCAGAAAGCCAGCCTCCGTCGGCTCCTTTTCGAAGGAGTGAGCATGGCGATTGAAGAGGTTCGTACCCGCATCGAGCCCGGCGTGGAAGGACATCCTAAGAAGTTGGCAGCGGCGGAACGCTTGGATAGGCAGGCTAAACAGGAGAGGTCTCTGGGAGGTTTGGTTTTTACTCCTGAAACCCGGCCAGCCAACTCGTGTGTAGATCTGTGCGTGGAAATGCTTGAAACAGGTGTGTTGCAGTATCACGTTCCAAGCAAGTGGATTAGTAGGGCGCAGGAAGCACAGTGCTTGAAGAGGGACAGCAGCATAAACATTGATGCCGACAACAACCTGAAGATTGCAACCAAATCTGCAGATCAGACATGTGACGTTTCATCAGAGATGAGGTTGCGCCAGGCTTGGAGCCGCCGCTCCTTAGCCTTCGATTTGGCGAACCTTGCAAGCTTCAGGGTCATGGAGGAACATGTTCAATTCTTGTTTTCAGTTCTTCAGAGAGCGCAGCCGAAGGGCTTTCAGGGTGTCATGCTTTCACAAATCATTGAGGCAGATAAGCAGATGTTCATTCTTGCAAGCAACAACCTCATGGGACGTCTAACGGCCTCGCCAGGGGCGGCTCCTGCTTTGGACGCGGAGATCAGTAGACTGTCTAGGAGCCCTGACATCATGCAGTATTTGGCACCCTTGCAGAACCCTGTAATCCCACATGTACCTTGGACCCCTCCCAAGGGAGATGGCAAAGGCAAGAAGGGAAAGGACAAGGGGAACAAGGGAAAGGTCGCGACAGGTTCAAAGTTAGATTTGCCGGAGGGCTGTGTGACCAAAGATGATGCGAACAAGCCTTTGTGTTTCGCTTATAACACGCACGGTTGCAAGAATACCTGTAAGCAGGGCCGGTGCATAAAGGGCTACCACAAGTGTTGGAAAAAGGGTTGCTTCGGAAATCATCCGTACACCAGCTGTCCGAAGGCTGGTGCCTGAAGGTCCCTTCCATTGAGTGCGTCCATCAGTGGAGGGAGCGACGGGGGCGCATTGCAAACTGGGGACCTGCTGGTCCCTGATGCTGAGGGGTGGTCCAAGGCCCGTTTGAATAAACCAGGCCAAATCACGAGTGATGATCTCTTGACCTTGTTTGATATGCTCCCTCAGGGAAATCTTCAGAAGGGTCAGAGAGAAGTGAAACAGTCCTTCGTAACCGGCTGTTACTCCCAAGGTGGATTCCGTGGGTTGCGTAAGGAGTGTGCAGAGTTTCCATACGCAAGTCGTGTCATGACCCGCTTTGTGCAGGAGCGTCTTCCAGGTCATGTTTTCTCCACATGTGGCATTTTTGCAGACAGTCTCACGCCTTTGCATCGTGACGGCCGCAATGCGCAGTGGCCGAATGCGGTTTTTCGCTTGAGTGATTTTAAGGAGGGGGGCTTATGGATAGAGGGCCCTGGGGACGATGTTCGAGTCTTCAATTCTAAAGAGCTGGTTGGAGCGGTTCACGAAATTGGGGACGATCCGCTTATCTTTGACGCTTGGTCTAAATACCACGAAACTGAACCTTGGACAGGTCGAAGAGTTGTTCTGATCACTTGGGTTGTGCAGCAACTTGAAAAATTAGAACCGAAGGATGTAGAGGCAGCGCACCAATTGAACTTCGTGCTACCTCCTGAGGTGCCGTTGCCTGTGCAAACGGCGCAGCTGGGAGAACGGCCACCCATGGTGTTTGAGGTTTTCGCAGGCAAAGGCCTCTTGTCCCGGGCCCTGATGCAATGCGGATTCGCTGTCCACAGTTTCGACCAACATCATTGCGATTCTCATGTGCCCATCTCGCAGCTGGATTTAGCAACAGACTCAGGGCAAGCTTTGTTCTGGGACTTTCTTGAGACACAGCGCCCGTTTGCAATACATTTGGGCGCCCCATGTGGGACCAGCAGCAAGGCCAGAGGCAGACCGTTGTACAATGGACAGCCGGGACCCCAACCTCTTAGGAGTAGTGAGTTCCCGCTAGGCCTGCCCTCCTTAAAGCCGGGGTCAGTTGAGGCCACTCGTGTAAAGTTGGCAAACCGTTTGTATGCCTTCACATATCGCATTTTGCGATATTGCCTGGAGCACGACATAGTGGTCAGTCTTGAGAATCCCGCAAATAGTTTCCTATGGGAGGTGTTGCAAGCCTTTGAGCCACAAGGGGTTGCTAACCGTATCCTTCCCAGACTGCAGTCCATCATCTTTGACTTGTGTTGCCATGGGGGCTTTCGCCCCAAACGCACAAAGTTGCTTGCAACGCCTGGCTGCTTCGAGCCGTTGCGTGCCCTTTGCGATGGAAAGCACATGCACAAACCTTGGGGACAAGTTGTTGAGTTTGGCTCCGTTCGGTATGCCACCAAGGATGAGGCGGCCTACCCAGCATTGTTTGCCTCTCGCTTCGCTTCGTGTGTGGAGCGCAGGGCTTTGTCGCTAGGCCTCAACCTGTGTCGTCGCCCATCCCCTAAGGACCTCTCGCTGGCCATGTTGGGCCGACAAAACAAGCGTCATCCGCCGCTGGTTTCCGAATACCAGTCTGTAATTACTATGCCAGCCGTAGCATTCAAATCGCAAAAACACTTGAAGCTCTTGCGCAGCATCGGGGGTGAGGAGCTTCGAGCTTCCACTGAGCCAAACCCTAACACCCCTTTGGGACGGACCATCCCAGAGGCCTCGAAGCCTACCAGTAACACCCCTTCGAGAGGGACCATCTCGGAGGCCAATACCCCTAGTAGTTCACGGGATCCAGCTGAGAGGGTTGGTGACCGGGTTAGGGTTGGGGTATACAGGACTCCTGAACAGTTTGTAGAGGAGGCTAAGAAGGTCATTCATCCAGTAGATTCTTCAAACCCACTTGAGAAAGCCACGTTGTTTGCCTTGAAAGAAAACTTGACTAAAGACCCGAGGCTCATAGTCTTGAAGCGAAACTTGGCGGTGGCGCGAGTGAAGCAGGAGGTGAAGAGATGCAGTGATGCTGAGGCGGAGCTTCACAAGGCCATGCACCCGGCAGTGGCTAAGGTTATGAGCGGCAAATCCATTTTGGCGTTGGAATCTTTACTCAAGTCCGAGGGCTATGACGATCTTGAAGTCATCGGTTTCTTAAAAGAAGGGGTAAGGTTGGTCGGAACTTCCCAATGCCCAGAATGCTTTGATCGTAAGTTTGTCCCCGCTTTCTTGACAGAGACGGAGCTCATGGCCTCAGCGGCCACCAGACGAAAGTCCTTGTTGAGTAAGTTCGAAAAGGTAGACCCGGAGGAGGCACGGATCTTGAAGGAGGCCACGGATGAGGAAGTGGCCATGGGCTTTTTGGAGGGCCCCTACTATGATCAGAGCCAGATTACGAAATTGCTGGGAACCAACGATTGGACAGTCATCAGAAGGTTTGTTTTGCTCCAGGGGGCAGAGCTGAAACCCAGACCCATAGACAACTGCTTGGAATCCCAATTAAACGCGGGCTACAGCTCCAGCATTCACCTGCGGTTACAAGATTCGGACTACATCTCAGCCATGGCCCTCCACGTAGCGAGGGAAGTGAGCGAAGGCCGAGCGCACAAGGATGCATCGGAGTGGAAGGGCAAAACACTTGACCTCAGCAAAGCTTACAAGCAACTTGCTATCCATCCGAGTCACCGACCTCTTTCAGTAATTGCAGTTAGGCAATCGGACGGAAAGGATGCCTTATACATTTCGAACTCGCTCATGTTTGGTAGCACTGCAGCGGTTTATGCCTTTAATAGGGTTTCCAGGGCCCTGTGGTTTCTCTTGAACAAACTTCTATGTATACCAGCTGCCGTCTTCTTCGATGACTATCCTTTGATGTCGCCGGCAGGTAGCGCAGAAAACGCAGACTCCACGGCGAGTGCGTTCTTGGATGCCCTAGGATGGCGTCACGCCAAGACGGGCGCAAAAGGACGCCCCTTTGCGTCAGACTTCGACGTCCTTGGTATGCATTTGGGTTTAGGTGATCTTGCTAAGGGTACTGTAGTCTTAGCAAACAAACAGGGCAGGATAGAGAGGATTGTTGACCGTCTTCAGGAAATCAGCTTGAAAGGAGAAATCCGACGACACGAGGCTCAGGTCATCCAAGGCCTGTTGCAGTACGCCTCGGGCTTTTACGCAGGCCGATCGCTGAAGCATGCGTCGCACATTCTTGCGAGGATTGTTGGGGGTCTGCACTTTAGTCCTAGGGACCTTAGTGACTTCTGTAGACACACCGTTTCTTTGCTGAAGCACGAGAACCCTAGAGTCTTGAGCTGTGCGATGATAACTGACATCATCCATCTTTGGACCGACGGATCGTGGGAAGCTGATGTTGGAGGCATTGGTCTAGCCGCCCACGATTGCTTCAGTGGAACAGGCTGGGTCTTCACAGGAAAGGTCCCGTTGCAGTTGCTTGAATCTTGGAAAGCAGAGGTAGGAGAGCAACTCATCTGCGAGATCGAGATGTTTGCTGTGCTAGCTTCCCTGCTGCAACTGAATGCTCTTGTGTCGTCTCGCCGCATAGTGTGGTGGGTTGACAACGATGCAACCAGAGGTGTCATGATCAAGGGCGCCAGCCGCAGTTGGGCCATGCACACTTTAGCCCGAGTGTTCTCTGAGCTCGACAGAGAATGGCCATCCATGTGGTGGGTTTGCAGAGTCCCATCCTACTCCAATCCGGGGGATGCACCGTCGAGAGACCAAGGAGAGGAGTCTTTGGTGACGGTCGGAGCATCTTGTGTGCAACCCTTCTCGAGACTTGAAGAGCTTGTTGGAAGGATCCAGGCCTTCAACCGAGCGTGAGATGATCTGGGGTTTGGGGCTCGCTTGAAGGCCACAGGGAGAGTGGCCGGGAGACTTCAAACCTTTTTGGTGCAGCAGCGCAGCCTCGCGAGACCCCAGATCGCTTGAAAGAAGAAAGGACCGATCCCTTTTCAAATATGTATATTGTGATTGGAAGATTTCATAATTTATAGACCTCTAAGAGGTCAACATATTTGTTGAGACATATTCGCATTTATGTTATAGTACGAATGGGGCTATAAGATTTCCCCCGGCAAGAACGAGGAAGATTTATAGGAGCTTGAAAACCACCACACCACAAAGAAGGGCGTCTTCGGCGTGCCGACTAGTCTTTCTTTTGGGGGGTGGTCAGCACGGGGAGAGTGCGGGTTTTCTAGAGCTCATGATGCATGATTTTAAACATGCTCTTTTTGAAGAATTTGTTTAGTATTGAAGAAAATTTTTCATGTGCGAAGCATGGACTTGTTGAGAATTGTTCTATGGCTGCGCTGCTACTCAAGGGCGAGAGAAAAATTTTCTTGCCCTCCCAGCCCACCCGGGTTTGGGGCTCGCTTGAAGGCCACAGGGAGAGTGGCCGGGAGACTTCAAACCTTTTTGGTGCAGCAGCGCAGCCTCGCGAGACCCCAGATCGCTTGAAAGAAGAAAGGACCGATCCCTTTTCAAATATGTATATTGTGATTGGAAGATTTCATAATTTATAGACCTCTAAGAGGTCAACATATTTGTTGAGACATATTCGCATTTATGTTATAGTACGAATGGGGCTATAAGATTTCCCCCGGCAAGAACGAGGAAGATTTATAGGAGCTTGAAAACCACCACACCACAAAGAAGCATTCTTCCAATCTGTCAGTGAGCGTCGGAACCTTTTCAGGCGGGCGCCTCTGGATAGAGGATCCCTCGGGTTCAGTCGAAAAATTCATTCCTGCTCTGGGTAAAACCCTCCTTGGGTCCTACACCTGCACGCGGCATGCCCCTAAAAAATTCCCATGTAATCTGTGGCACTGCACAGAGCCATGGTTGGGGGATAGATGGGTTCTCACTTGCTTTTCGCTTCCCTCAGTTTCTCATTCAGGGCTCCCAGACTTGGGTTTCCCAACTATCACGCAGTCGAGCTTGGCCTCCCCGGAAGCTGAGCAAGCCAAAACTCCTGTTAAGCAGGCGTCTCCAGCAGCAGTCACGTCTTCATCAGGCACCGAGCAGCGTCCATCTCCAATCGCAGGTTCCCCAATCAACTGGGGCAAAGCCACGCCTTTCGGATTTACCAACCATAGGCTAAAGGTAGTCCCGGACCCCCCTAAGCAAATGCCTCGGGCTACGTCCGTTCCCATTCCCCAGGAACCAGGTTCAAGGATTTTCTTGGATATTTGTTCAGGTCTAGACAAGCCGCTATCGTCAGCAGTCGCTGCACTCAGCTTGCCAGTGCTGTCCATTGATATTCTTTTGGACCCCACTATGGATATTCTGAACAACGATTTCTTCGAGCAACTCTTGTTTATCTGTGGTTCGGGCATAGTGGGTTATTGCGCCTCCTCACCCTGCTGTTCTGAGTACAGCCGCTTGAAACTTAGGGGTGATAAACCATATGCCATCCGGACACCTGAATTTCTTGATGGAATTCCTGGCAACCCTGCAGAAGCCCAGTCTCGTGTTCAGGAAAGCCATGAGGTGCTATCCCGAGCATGTCAGTGTGCAAAAGTCGTGCATGCGGCAGGAGGTCACTCGCATGTGGAACAACCCTCAGGGGCCATGTCATGGGAGGAGCCATGTACGCAAAGCTGGCTCCATGCAGGTTCCGTCGTGCTTGTCCTTTGTGCAGCATGTGCTTGTGGGGCCAACTGGCAACAGACATGGTTGTTTGCCAGCAGCTTCAAGACACTCGGTCTCATGTGCCAAACGTGCTCGCATGGGCGAGGTGCTCATCCAGTTATGCAAGGCCGCTCCGAGTCAGGCACTTTTCGGAGCAGAGATACAGCCAAATATCCAGAACCACTGGCAGAAACCTTCGCTTTACACATTAGACCCCTGCTCTCGGGCCCTTCGGAAGATCACACAATTGCTTCAGCCTCGGCTTTGATTCCAGTCAAAGAGATCCAGGCAGAACCTTGGGTTCTCCATGACGGGGCAGGGCGTCACTCTTGTGGCGACTGGAGCAGCCCTTTGTGCTCCGATAAGCTGAAACCGCTTCGTACCTACCTGTTGAGCTGTGTCGCCCGCATGCAAGGTGACAAGCGTCTTCTTGCAAAGGCAGCATGGCCCAGTCCCGAACCATTATTCACACAGTCCGAGGTTTCAGAGGTTAGGCAGGGGTTTCTTGCAAGCTTGGGGTTGCACGGGGATAATCAAATTTGGCGGATTCGGGAACACCAACCCCTGGCCTTGCATGTTCTTGAGAAACTTGCAGGCATCTGCGGTGACCCGGATATCAGTTTGTTCCCATGTTTGCAACGTGGTGTGCCTACAGGCTACAACAACGATATTCCGCCTTCCCACTGCTTTTGGCCAAATCAAAAAACCAACGTCGAAGATGCTCCCTTAACGGCTTAACGATCCACATGCAGAACTGGCGTTCAGCATCAGTCGAGCCCTCAGTCACGCAAGCGCTCCTTGAAGAAGAAATCAGTCAAGGGTTCTGCTATAAGTTTGAGGGATCTCTTGCCGAAGCTAAAGCAAAATGGCCTGCTCTCGCAATAGGGAAGCTTTCTGTAGTACGTGCTCCAGGGCGTGCGGAAAGACTAGTGCTTGACAATTCGGTTTGTGGGACGAATGCCAATTGTGACGTACCAGAAAGCCAGCACATGCCATCTGCAAGGGACGTGATCAACAGCTACCCACTTCGCGAGTGCAACGCTCGGCAATCGGCCATATCGTTGGACGTGAAATCCGCCCATAAAAGGGTCTTTGTAACACCTGCCGAACAGGGGTTGCTTGGATTCTCTTGGGATGATGATCTTTATTTCTATCGCGTGGCACCGTTTGGTGCAGTCTTCGCTCAGCACTGGTGGGGCAGATTGGGATCATGTATCCTTCGCATTTTACATGTGCTCATCTTCATTAGCCACACGGGTCACTTGTTTGTGGATGATTATTTGTTCTCGCAACTAGCGGCGATCATGCCCATGACAGGAGCCATGATATGCCTTTTCTTTCAGGTGATTGGCCTTCCCTTATCCTGGCGGAAACTCCAACTGCATAGTCGGGTTCAATGGATAGGTTGGGACTTTGATTATACCGCGGGGGTCGTCTTGTTGCAGGAGCAAAAACGCCTCAAATTATTAGGGATGGTTCAGGATCTTCAGCGCAAGCCAAAAATTTCCAAAAAGGATCTTGAACGGTTTGTTGGCCTGGCACTTTGGGCGTGCCACCTTTTCCCTTCGATGAAAGCACTGCTGCATACATTCTATCACGATCTGTTCAGCCCGGCAGCAACGAATTATTCGATATCACCAGAAGTGTGGCACCAACTACGGCACCATCTTACAGAAGACCTTAAATTTAAATCCACCCCGCCAGGTACTGCCATCCCGCTCCATTCAACGCTGCTGTCAGTGCGGCACCAAAAATTACAGAACCTTTCAGATCTTGCAAACGTTCGCATCACAGAGCTTTGGCTTCAGCAAGTAGCTCCAAGCGCTCCAAAGCGGGCAACGCCAGGGTAGTGGCGGCTAAGATTGCTGGCGGCCGGGAGGGATCCAGCCATGGCTCCTTCTTCAGGTGGCATGTCCACCTACGACTATCACATAAGAGCGAAGTTTCGGGCCATGGCGGCCCACCTTGATTGCTACAGCGGCCCGAGCCTACCTCTCGTGCCCTCTGGAGCCTCCAAGTTGAATGTCAGTCATGTCAGGGATCACCTTTCTGGTGTAAGTGGGGACATGCGAACCATTCAAAGTTTGGTGGGCTTCATCGTGAATTGCAGAGAGCGACGCCTGCGCCAGGCGGAAAGTGATCTTCATTGCATGCAGGCTAGGGGTGTGATGCCTAGCATGCTTTGGTTCTGCGAGGGCTCTTTTGGCATTTTGCCAAAGTGGGCACAGGAGCCAGAAGATTACAATGAGCTGAAGCGGGAAGGCCTTGGCCGTCCCACGGGAGACGACGACGAACACGATGACACGTGCATCGACGATGTGGTGCAGGCAGTGGACGGCCCGACAGCCGAGCAAGTCACCACTGCTTTTCTTCATGCGAACCTTCAGCGAGCTGAGTGCACAAGTGATATTTCAAGTGGTACCTCAGAGCATGATTTTCATTTTCATGATGGTGACGCTGTATACAGACCGACGGTTGAGCAAGTCACTGCAGCCTTCTTACATGATGATTTTCGGCATGTCACATGTACTGCTGCTGAGCGCGATTTCAAGTCCTTGCAGCCACTGCTCATGCGTTTTGGGTTGCCGGGCTTCCCCTCTCAGACAGGCCGGGATTGCGATGAAGCTTCAACACAGATTTTTCAAAACCTGTGCGAGGCTACTCTGGACGAAGAGTTTTACTACTACAATGGGCATGATAACTTTGATGACACTCTGCATGCTGCTTGTGGTAAGAGGTTTTCCTCAGAGCATGATTTTCACTCTGCACAGCTCCCTGGGGATGGTATCAGCTTTCAGCTTGGGCGCCTTGGGTGGCCGGGCGATGGAGACAACCAGCTCTACATCCCGGCCCCGGCTCTTCTGCAGACCCTCGACCTGGTCAGTAGTGCAAGTAGTGTGTTCGAGGATCCAACGGATTCTAAAGAAGACCCGCGAAGGGCTAAAAACAGTCATGTTGATAACGGCCGCCATGTGCCCCCAAGCACAGAGGTCGAAAGAAGACCCGCTGAAGGGCAAAAATTCCCGAGATCAAGAGCCTTTCAGGCCAACCTCGAAACCCCACCACCAAGCCTCTCGAAGGCTGCCCCTGACTTCCCTCACTCCTCGAAGCGTGCTAGCCATGGCGATATGTATGGGAGGCTCAACGGCGGCCAGTTCTACATCACCGATGGCAAGATCAATGGCGATGCT